TAGTTCCAGGAAATTGTCTGATGTTGCCGTTCCTTGGGCATCCCATACACCCCTTACCCCAAGTTCAATTCCCCAAATAAAAAAACAAAAAACAAGCTCAAGGACTGATTACTGTCTCTTACATGCAAGTCTGTGTGGAAAATGCATGTTGCCTGGCTGTGCAGGACCATAGGGGGACCCAAACCTCAGCAAGTTTAAGGGGGTAGTGTTACAAATAGGTGAGGTATATCCGAGCCATAGTAATCTTATGGGATTGGGAATAAGGAATAGCTGGGCTGCACCCCTTAATCCAGGACATAGCCTGCCAAATATATCTGGAGATAGAGGCTGAATGTGAAGGTGATAGAACTGCTCTGTATAATGTTACACATTTATAAGTAAAGGAATGAAGAAGACTGACAATCGCTTATTGGGAACAAGTTCTGAATTATCCTGTGTGAGAGTGCCTGCAACCAAGAGTGTATGAGTAGTCAATATAACAGAGTTTTCTTGAACAGAAACTCCAATACATTCATGTGACATCAATGCAAAAGGGAGGTGCACTGGACCAGCATGGTCATTGCTCGTGGCCCACCAGGGGCCTCCTTACAATTGGCCTAGTCAACAGGATGGGGTATGTGACCACATGTGGAGAATGTGCCAGCCTTTCCAGTTGGGCCTTGACCATAAGGCAAAGCTGAAGAATGAGTGGCATTTCAGCAGCAGTAAGTGAGTGTGAAATCTTTTTGGATGATGTTGCCAGAGAAAGAAGTGTGTTTCGACTCCCATGAAAGAGAGCCTCTGAAGTTGGGGTCCGGCCCTATATCTCGGTACCAATAAGTTGAGGATCAATGGTGGATACTGGGATACAGTTTATGCCCAGGAATGGACTGGATTTATTTCTGTGGTATCAGAAAAACAATGGTGGCAGAATGCCAATGCTGTAACCGTGTAACACTGATCATTCCCCCCTCCCCCTCCAGGTAACTCTGTGAACAGTGCCATGCCTAACTGTTCAAGATGCTCCAGAAGTGAAGGGAGCCTTGGGTTCCTTTTAGCACCTGGGAGGAGAATGGAACATGGGAAAAGATTTTGCTTGGCAGAAATGCAGATTATGGGTCCTTGGTGATGGATCCCCTGGGCTTTCCTGGCCCCAGTCAGTCTTGGCTGGTAGAACTGTGGAAAGACTCCTCAAATTATCAATTGAGTATACTCAGCCCACAGAGAGCGTGTAGGAATGGAATTGGAGGAAGCTCAATTGATAGGTGTGGAGTCGGCTCTGAGTGTGCTATTAACCACAACCAAACAGTAACTGGAAGAACCACAGCAGTCTATGCAGAAGGGGCTGGAGAGGAATACCAAGGTGACACATGTACCTCTGGAAGTTGCTCGTGAAGGGGAATGTTTCCCCCTGACAGGATGGATTGATGCTGTATCCCAGATAATGTGGAGCTATTAGTGGATTGGGTGGATGCTATGGGTCCTAGTAAGTTGTTTGGAGTGCTGTGGACAGCAGTAAGACCTCCAGTGGAAGTGGCACAAGTCCCAGCTGTGGGTGCTTCCAGCCAGCTAAAGAACCCTAGTGCTCCAGTGAGTCTAGAGGAGAAGATCGATGACATTAGTATGAACATTGACAGCATCTAGATTTGGGCAAATAAGTGGACTTGCCTAATCCTCATTGTGTTTGAACTAATTTTTATTCTTGTAATTCTAAGTACCCTGTTTTGTAGTGCTAATGTAACCATTCTATGATTGGGTTGCTAACTGATAGGAAGAGGGGTTCCTCCAGATCTTCAATGTTCTGGGTTATTGTGCATTATTAGTGTTTGTAACATAGTAAGGATAGGTCAGGTATTGCACCTGTATCACATCTATGTGTATTTAAAAGAGAAGTAGGGATTTCGTTTTTTTTTTCCCATTTATACTTACCTAGGTGGATGTAGCATCGGTTCAATGCTGCATTTGTCCCCCTCCAGTTCTAAGTGTGAGAACTCAGCGATCACATGACCACTTAGCGCTACGTTCTCTGTCCAGAGAGCCGCTCTGCAAACACCCCCCATGCACTCACAGGAGCATTAGGCTATGGAGAGGAAAAGAAAGCAACTGGCTCAGGCTCTTAGCAGCTCACTGAGAGGCTGAGCCAGGTGCTGCTCCAGACACCGGAGTGGATCCCGACTTTAAAGTCGGGATCTTTCCCCAGCAGGATCTGCTGAGTGACGTCAGCTGACAGCGGGCTTCAGCCCGCTGTCAGCTGAAAACAGGTCATTGCACTCCTGTGATCCACAAGGGAAGTACAGCCAAAAGAGCTTTGACTGTACTTCTCCTTTATGTGACATCTTATATTTTGTTCAGTATTACAGAGTGTTTTTGAGGTTATGTCATCAGCCTTCCAAAGATGCCATGCCATTGATAGGGAAAGAGGGGGTTAAGCAGGGGTTAATACCCTGTTTTGGAAAGTCCTGATCCTGGGAGTAATTGAAGGATGAGTTGTCTTCTCCCTAAATAATGGCACTGCAGGATTGAAGTAGCAGATGTTCATGGGAAGTAGTGACCATAAGCAATGAAAATGTGAGCTACAGGGGACTTCAAGAAATACCCCTCTAGGGTAAACCCTAGCCATAGATGGGTGTGGTATATATAAGCCAAGGAAACCTTGTGGGGTTGAGAGTAAGGAAGAGCTGGGTGGCACTCCCTTATCTGGTACATAACCTGCCAAATATATCTGGTGAGAGAGGCTGAATGTGAAGGCGATAGAACTGCTCTGTACCATGTTAAACATTTATACGTAACACAATGGAAAACGATGACTCTAAAGTAAGCTGGTTGTTTGCTCATTGTAATGCTTCCTGCCAATGCACCTCCAATAAGTATATTAAATCATAACTAAAAAAACAAAACCTATTTGTAATCAGTGATCTGCATATTGTACATACAGTATGTCATTATAGGTACAGCAACATTAGATGATTGATACATGTGGGGAAGTAATGTGAACATTGATTATTCCTTATACGCCAAGCCTCCTCACATTTTTCCTAAAATGTATGCTGTGAACAGCAAAGTTGGACTTTGACAATTGTTAGACGCAGCTTTTCACAGATTGGTGAATCTCTGTCCGTCTTTACTTCTGAGACACTCTGACTCTCTAAGATGCTCTTTTTATACCCAATCATGTCACTGAGTTGTTGCCTTAATTTAATTATTTATTTGAAAAATGTTTTCCAGCTCTTCCTTGTTAGTACTACTTACATTGGCAGCTTTTTGTTGCCCTGTCCATTTTGAGACGTGTTGTTGCCATCAATTTTAAAATGACTGTTTTTCTTTTCTTAAAATGGCACATTTTTTCAGTTTAAACATTTGATATGTTTTCTATTGTGAATAAAATATGGGTTTATGAGATTTGCAAATCATTGCATTCTGTTTGTAGATTTTAAACAGCGTTCTTGGAATTGGGGTTGTACTTTTATGGAGCATTTATACTGTATAAGCTCAAGCATATTTCATTCATCACAATACGTTGTGTGCCATTGTGTATAACAAGTGAAAGCTGTACAGTGATTCCTGTAGATGACACTTGCAGGGGTGGATATGTTCCATAGTATCAAAAAGCAGCACCCTAAAAAAGAAACATTGTGTGTGTTTGGTGCCCCCCAGTGGTAAGTAAGGAATGTAACAGCTATGCATAAAATCATCCTCAAAATACGTTTGTTTCTCTACACATTAATTGAAATACAATGAAATTTCAATAAAATGTTACTCTGGCTGATCTCATTTTAAGACCAATCTTTGGAATGTTAACTCATCCAAAATGTACTTTAGTTTTTAGTCCAGTGGCTTTATACATCTCACTAAGACTTCATTCACATGACTGTAAAAATGTTACTGCTGTTCTTACAAATGAGTTTTCTAAAGTTCCTGCATAATGATCAGTAAAGTATTTGCATACAGATGCATTTAAATGTGTAAAGACGCATACCTATGCGTACATATCCTGTTTTTATGATCATTTCTTTTTCCCCTTGTTTAGACCTAATTTACACGCGTACAAATGTGTATACATACATAAGCACACAAATCGCATATTTCTAGTTGCAGATTTTTGGATTCTGTGTTACTGATCTGAAAGCAGCTCATGTTTACGCACCTGTGTGAATGGCTCCATTGCAAACAATGTAGCTGTGTTGGGATCTTTCATTTTACGGCAGCATCTACAGGTGAGTAGGGCTAGTAGTGATGTAATTGATGCGTGGGCAGGGTTGGCAGCTGTGTCATCAACAGGTGGGCGGAGCCAATCATGCGATAATCAATGGCTGGCCATGGATGGGTGTGCTGTCATCTACAGGTTGGCAAAGCTATTACTACCGCCATCAAAGGGTAAGCAGAGTCAGTGACATCGTCATTGGGTGGGTAGGACTATTAGTGCCATTCACAACAGGTTGGTGGGGCCAGTATTGATGTCATCGATGTGTGGATGGGGCCAGTAGTGACATAATCAATGGGTGGCTAGTAGTGGCGTCATTAACCAGTGGGCGATGTCCAGTATTGATGCCATTAACAGGTGGGCGGAGCCAGTTTTTACATCATCAACAGGTGGGTAGCACCAGCAGTGATGTCATCAATGGGTGGGACTAGTGGTGACATCATCAATGGGTGGGTGGCGTCAGTTGTGACATCATCAACAGGTGGGTGCAGCTGCCATTATCACTGGGTGGGCATGGATAGTAGTGCCATTATCAATGGGTTGGCAGGGCTAGTAGTGATGTCATCAACAACTGGGCACCACAGTAGTGACGTTATCAATGGGTGTGCAGGGCTAGCAGTACCGTCATCAAAGGGTGAGTAGAATTGGTAGTGTCATTATTACTAGTTGGGCGGAGTTAATAGTGTCCTTGTCACTAGGTGGGCAGAGTTAGTAGCGGCGTCATCAGGCGTTGTTGTGTTTAGCATCATTGATCTCACTGAGATTCCAGTTAACCTGAACATCCCCATTGGTTGCCATGTTTTCTAAACTTAGGGTTTACCTGTAGAGAAGATCAGGATGGTGTTGTCCCAGAGACCCTTCTGCTGCAGTGCTGCTGTGACATTTCCCACCGCCTCATCCATGGCGGACACCATCCCGGCGTAAAGACGTCTGTTCTTGTCATGGATGGAGCTATAAGGCTCAGTGTACTTCTCAGGAACTTGTAGAGGAGAATGGACAGCCTGGAAGGCCAGATAGAGGAAGAGAGGCTGCAAGAAGAACACAGATTTGTGAGAACCAGACAGTGAGAAGCTATCACAGAAAAATCAAAACTGAATGCATTGGGCCAACTTGTCTAGATGTCAGTGTACATATCTGATACCCAGAGGACCCCCGGGGAAGCTGACAATGTAGTAGCCAGTTATCATACAGTGATAACATCGATCTTCTGGTTCTGAGCAAGCGACTTCCCATCTGTACTCTGGCCATAGGGGGAAGGGGGAGGGGGTCACCCACTCAGAGCCTCCACCATTCTCAGAATGCCTTGTATTTTTGTCAGTAAATACAAGGTGTTCCGTGATTGGACTAGGTGGAGATTGTGACATCACTGCCCCCCTGCAGCACCTATTCCATCCAGAGATTGTTCTGTATTCATTTAAAAAAATACAATGATGGTGGTGGTGCTGAGCAAGTGTTCCCCTGTGTTCAGTGCACAGAGGGGAAGACACTCACATAGCACCCAGATCACAGCTATCAGTGCTAGCAACAAAGCAAACATGATGTCAACCTGACCTTCCACATGATACATGCCGTTATACATGTGCATTACAGAACCAATTTGGATATAATGTCGGTGTCACTATGAGTGCAGGCCAGAAAGTTCTAAGGCTACATCCAAGGATCCATCAGCTGAAAAAGAGTTCAGACAGTAGCGGGATGTTGTAATATAGATTCCAAAGGTGCTGTATATCAAATTGTGTCCCCCTCCTACAAAGGATAGCAGTACATTCCAAATTTGCAAGAAATAACTTACTCAGGGGTAGAGTTGAACTTTATCTCAGAAATGCACCCTGTGTCTTCATAGTAGAATGCCCCAGGTTATGCGGCCCTTAAAATGCTTGGCAGGGTATTTAAAGAGTAACTCCACTTTTGCTGACAAAAAAACATTCCCCTCTGGGTGATCTATGTACATTGCAAGGATTTAACAAACTCTGTTGCCGATTCCTACCTTTTGTTATTCTGAAAATATAGCTTTTGTTTGTCGGTGTCCATGTGCAGAGTGAATCTGTATGCAAGTGGTTTCATAATTATGGATCAGCTGCTGCACCTACAGGGCTCTAGTGAGGAAAGTGGCAGGGTCTGCGTCCCTTTAGATGTGATTTCCCTTTGGGAGTATCTCACCAAAAAATTACATTTTTGTTGCAGGGGATGCTGAAAATCTGACTTGTAACTTAGTGCAGACTTCTGGGAAAATCAGTAAGCCAATCACACAAGCAAGAAATGTCATTTCTGGGGGGCGTTCTGTACAACATCTGTGTACAGAACACCTCCAGGTAGCCATATTGCATTGCATTTTACAGATTACAACACTGCAGATTGAAAAGGAAAGGTCATTTTTTTACATAGTAACATTTGATTACAATATGAATAGTGTTAGTTTTTGTTTTCTATTTGCTCTTTTTTTCTCACGGAAGTGGAGCCACCTTTTAAGAGTACACACAGGTACCTCTATGTGCTTATTGTCTACGACTGCTGAAAGTTGGGCATGTTTTAAATAACTATTGGTTTACAAAGATAGAGGGAACAGTGGCTCCTGCCCAAAGTGATCCAAATTGGCCCTAGTATGTGAGATATGGACCTTCGATTGTATAAGGGTCGGATCTAGATTATGTGATCTGGTGGTGCAGTAAAAAAAAGAAAAAAAAAAAAGTCAGGGGGCATAATGTCAATAGTGTGACAGATGCAGAATACCAGTATTCCTTGTTCACTCGGCTTGCTTCTGTACCATGAGCCTCAACCCAAGTAACATCTGATAGGTAGTGCAGAGGGGGTGCAGGAGTGAACAGGGAACACTAGTATGCATTAGGCTGTCATTAGATTAGGATGATTATACCCCTTACATCAGGAGTTCTCATCAGAGTTCTCCCTTACATCACCATCACAGTTCCCCTTTACATGAACTGTCCTCATCAGATTGCCACTTACATAAAATGTCCATATCAGAGAGCCCCCTTACCTCAATTGCCTCAACAGAATTCCCCCTTTCATCAACTATTCACATCAGAGTGCCCCTTTACATCAGATGTCCTCATCAGAGTGTCCCCTTATATCAGCGGTTCTCAACCTGGGGGTCGCGACCCCTTTGGGGGTCGAACGACCATTTCCCAGGGGTCGCCTAAGACCATCGGAAAACACATATTTCCGATGGTCTTAGGAACCGAGACACCGCTCCTGTCTCCGGCGTTGTGTGGGCGGGATGATATGCTGCCCCTGTCACCGCCTCCTCGCCGCTGATTGGCCACCGGAACTGTAGCTCAGGAGAGGCACACAGGCGGCCAATCACCGGCGAGAAGGTGGAGCTTGGAGAGGAGGAGCCGAGCGGCAGCGCGGAGATCGAAGAAGATCGAGGGAGCTGCAGGAACGAGTGAAGAGAGAGGCCAGAGAAGGAAGACAGCTGACAGGTAAGTGCAAATTTTGCTGCTGCAGCCAGGTATGCAGGCTGTAGATGGGAGAGGGAGAGAGCGAGCCCAGGCTGGAGCAGGAGTCAGCAAGGTAAGTATCATTGGTGTCAGTGGGAGGGATAGTGCCCCATCATTTGTGTCACTAATACCAACAATGGGGCACTATTCCTCACCCCCACTGACACCAACGATGGGGGACTATTCCTCCCCCCACTGACACCAACGATGAGACGCTATTCCTCCCCTCACTGACACCAACGATGGGGCACTATTCCTCCCCCCACTGACACCAACGATGGGGCACTATTCCTCCCCCCACTGACACCAACGATGGGGCACTATTCCTCCCCCCACTGACACCAACGATGGGGCACTATTCCTCCCCCCACTGACACCAACGATGAGACAGTATTCCTCCCCCCACTGACACCAACGCTGGGGCACTATTCCTCCCCCCCACTGACACCAACGATGGGGCACTATTCCTCCCCCCACTGACACCAACGATGGGGCACTATTCCTCCCCCCACTGACACCAACGATGGGGCACTATTCCTCCCCCCACTGACACCAATGATGGGGCACTATTCCTCCCCCCACTGACACCAACGATGGGGCACTATTCCTCCCCCCACTGACACCAACGATGAGACAGTATTCCTCCCCCCACTGACACCAACGCTGGGGCACTATTCCTCCCCCCACTGACACCAACGATGGGGCACTATTCCTCCCCCCACTGACACCAACGATGGGGCACTATTCCTCCCCCCACTGACACCAACGATGAGGCAGTATTCCTCACCAATCGATCCCCCACTGACACCAACGCTGGGGCACTATTCCTCCCCCCACTGACACCAACGATGGGGCACTATTCCTCCCCCCCCCACTGACACCAAACGATGGGGCACTATTCCTCCCCCCACTGACACCAACGATGGGGCACTATTCCTCCCCCCACTGACACCAACGATGGGGCACTATTCCTCCCCCCACTGACACCAACGATGGGGCACTATTCCTCCCCCCACTGACACCAACGATGGGGCACTATTCCTCCCCCCACTGACACCAACGATGGGGCACTATTCCTCCTCCCCCCACTGACACCAACGATGGGGCACTATTCCTCCCCCCACTGACACCAACGATGGGGCACTATTCCTCCCCCCACTGACACCAATGATGGGGCACTATTCCTCCCCCCACTGACACCAACGATGGGGCACTATTCCTCCCCCACTGACACCAATGATGGGGGCACTATTCCTCCCCCCCCACTGACACCAACGATGGGGCACTATTCCTCCCCCCACTGACACCAATGATGGGGCACTATTCCTTCCACTGATACCAACGATGGGGCACTATTCCTCCCACTGACACCAACGATGGGGCACTATTCCTCCCACTGACACCAACGATGGGGCACTATTCCTCCCACTGACACCAATGATGGGGCACTATTCCTCCCACTGATACCAATGATGGGGCACTATTCCTCCCACTGATACCAATGATGGGGCACTATTCCTCCCACTCATACCAATGATGGGGCACTATTCTTCCCACTCATACCAATGATGGGGCACTATTCCTTCCACTGACACCAATGATGGGGCACTATTCCTCCCACTCATACCAATGATGGGGCACTATTCCTTCCACTGACACCAATGATGGGGCACTATTCCTCCCACTGATACCAATGATGGGGCACTATTCCTCCCACTGACACCAATGATGGGGCACTATTCCACTGACACCAATGATGGGGCACTATTCCTCCCACTGTCATACACAATGATGGGGCACTATTCCCCAACCAAAGATGATGGGGCACTTTCCTCCCACTGATACCAATGATGGGGCACTATTCCTCCCACTGATACCAATGATGGGGCACTATTCCTCCCACTCACACCAATGATGGGGCACTATTCCTTCCCACTGACACCAATGATGGGGCACTATTCCTCCCACTGACGCCAATGATGGGACACTATTCCTCCCACTGACGCCAATGATGGGACACTATTCCTCCCACTGACGCCAATGATGAGGCACTATTCCTCCCACTGACGCCAATGATGAGGCACTATTCCTCCCCACTGACGCCAATGATTGGGCACTATTCCTCCCACTGACGCCAATGATTGGGCACTATTCCTCCCACTGACACCAATGATGGGGCACTATTCCTCCCACTGACACCAATGATGGGGCACTATTCCTCCCACTGACACCAATGATGGGGCACTATTCCTCCCACTGACACCAATGATGGGACACTATTCCTCCCACTGACACCAATGATGGGGCACTATTCCTCCCACTGATACCAACGATGGGACACTATTCATCCCACTGACACCAACGATGGGGCACTAGTCCTCCCACTGACATCAGTGATGGGGCGCTAGTCCTCCCACTGCAAAATTACAGTTATGAAGTAGCAACGAAAATAATTTTATGGTTGGGGGTCACCACAACATGAGGAACTGTATTAGGGGTCTTAGAAAAGGTTGAGAACCACTGCCTTATATTAATGTTTCCATGCCCTGCTTACATCAATTGCCTCCATCAGAGTCCACCTTACATCAACTGTCCCCATCAGGTCTCATGGATTAGTGGATGCAGAGATCTGGGTGGCACAGCTGAATGAATATGTAAAGTGCTGAGTAATTGATGGTGCTATCCATCTATATACACAATATATATATAGTAAATATACTATACACACATATATAGTAAATAAATTACAGTTGCGCGCACCTTCTCAGACTTGTGATTAGTGATGACATCCACAGCTCTCTCTGTAAATAGGTGAGTGGAGTATTTCTTGTCATACCCTTTGGCTGGTTCTTCTCCATCCCGAAAGTCAAGCGCACACATGGTTTTGTTCAGAGCAACAATTTCATAGCATCTATCATGGCTGTAATAATCTTCACCACCAAGAAGATATCCTGAAATACAGAACAAATACACTGCTCAAAAAAATTAAAGGAACACTTTGAAAACACATCAGATCTCAATGGGGAAAATAGCATGCTGGATATCTACACTGATATGGACGGGTAATGTGTTAGGAACGTAAGGCCCCATCGTTTGGTGGAAATGAAAATTATAAACCTAAAGAAGACTGAATTTAAAGACACCCCGAAAATCAAAGTGAATAAATGATGCAGCAGGCAATTCCATTTTGCTGAAATTTCATTGCAGCAACTCAAAATGGTACTCAGTAGTTTCTATGGCCCCCACGTGCTTGTATGCTGCCTGACAATGTCGGGACAAGCTTCTAATGAGACGACGGATGGTGTCCTGGGGTATTTCCTCCCAGATCTGGACCAGGGCATCACTGAGCTCCTGGACAGTCTGAGGTGCAACTTGGCAGCGTCAGATAGAATGATACATGATATCCCACATGAGGCCAGGCATTGTCGTGCACCAGGAGGAACCCAGGACCCACTGCACCAGCATAGGATCTGACAATGGGTCCAAGGATTTCACCCCGATACCTAAAGGCAGTCAGGGTGCCATTATCTAGCCTGTAGAGGTCTGTGTGTCCCTCCATGGATATGCCTCCCCAGACCATCATTGACCCACCACCAAAATGGTCGTACTTAACGATGTTACAGGCAGCATAACGTTCTCCACAGCTTCTCCAGACCCTTTCACATCTGTCACATGTGCTCAGGGTCAACCTGCTCTCATGTGTGAAAAGCACAGGGCGCCAGTGGTGGACCTGCCAATTCTGGTGTTCAATGGCACCCAGTAGTGACACTGACCATAGCCAAAATGCAAAACTATTGAAAAACAGTCAGAAAAGATGAGTAGGAAAAAAATGTCAGTGGCCTCCACCTGTAAAACCATTCCTGTTTTGGGGGTCGTCTTATTGTTGCCCATCTACTGCACCTGTTAGTAATTTCATTAACACCAAAGCAACTGAAACTGATTAATAACCCCCTCTGCTACTTAACTGACCAGATCAATATCCCAGGAGTTCAATTGACTTGAAGCTATAGTCTGATTAAAAAGTGTTCCTTTATTTTTTTGAGCCGTGTACATAAAAACAAAACTGTAGCAGTTGTCAATGTTACTTCACTACCATGGGGTCAGTTGATCCATGTTTTCACCTACGTTTCACACAACTTTCACCTAAGATTTATCCAAAATTCAAATAAGATTCCTTTAGATTTCTTTAGAAAATGAGTGATTCTTGGGTGAAAACCCAGATAATGCTACATTTGCACAGATGACTAGCCCCGCAGTGAATGGCAATGGCAGGAATCTGCTGATTTCAGTTGCTGTTTTTTGCCACCTGTGAGCAGCTAGCTGTGGTCACCAAACCCGTACACTTTAATGATAGGTCAGAAGCAACTGCAGCTATCTGTGGCTGTTCACACAGCCAGTGATTACCTGCAATGATCTCTGCTGGATGCATACAAAGTGCAGCAGCCGGAATCCTGCCACTACCATTCACGCCAGGGCAAAATACCAGTGCGAATGTAGCCTTATTGGTACAGTCAGTTCCCCATATTAAGTCAGAACAACCTGTCACAATGAGTTGAAAAAAAACCATCACTGGTGATCTGCCAGAAATCCAGAGTACGTCTAATTTCCTCAGCCGAAAACGGAGCCCAAATCCCAAAACAGTGTCATTGGGGCTACTGCCACTGTGTACTCTAAGAACCCCATAGACGATACAATTTTCTTTCTTTCCACCATGGGTGGAAGGAAAGAAAAATTGCTTGAATCCCTCCTGCAGCACTATTGTGGGAACCTTTCTGGCTGACAGAACACAATGCTCACTGCTGGTGGTTATAGCTGCCAGGAGTAAAACAGAAGTCAAACAATGGATCGACTTCAATACAACCAGCCTGCCCATAAATAGTCCGAATATTGGCCAGTCCCTGCTGAACCGGCCGAGATTCGATCCATCCATGGTCAGCTGTACTGCACAGTATGTAGGTAAAGGGCTCTTGAAAGATGTAGTTCTAGAAGGCATATCAATGTCATTAGGAACGGATCTCCCAGCAGCAGTTCCTGGAAGAATTGTACAAGCCTGATGATGATATCACAGGGAGCTAAGAAGGAGGGTTCTCACAATATCATTCAGGATAAAAGAAAAACATGAATGCTAGGACATGGTCTAGACTAGAGGAATAGACAGAGGTTTGGGGGTAAAAGAGTGGGTGGAAAAAGTGAAGTGTCAGGTTAAAGGTATGATCTGTGTGATTCCATGCTGTTTGCTTGGTAATGTGACAAGGCAACAAGGTAGCCCCAGAAAAGGTTATGTAAGGTTTCATACTGATGGGTGTGTAAGGCAGGTGCAGTCTGTTTTCTCCACTGTAGGTGGCGCTTGACCCGAGTGGAATCACAGTCCCGAGAAGAAGTCCAAGGGAAACATGGTTTCTCTATAGTTTCCTGGGTCAAATGTAGTAGCGTTCCGGTTGGCTGTGCTACGGCCATATGGCCCTTGAAGGCCATCTTGGGTCAGGAAAGTCTATTTAAGCCGAGTTTTGACATGTATTTTGTTAGCGGCTAGTGTAGGGACAGAGACCACATTTGTCAGAGACGGCAACTAGCTATAGGGAAAGTTTCCTGATGAGGAGGGAAAGGCTAGGGACTCACTAATCTATCAGAAGTCTCCCCTCTTGGGACCAGACCGGCTAGGCTGCACTTCATCGTCCAAACAGATGCTGTCAGTACCTCTCCTCAGCTTTCTGTGACTACGTGATATCGTTCTCCGGCTATGGTGTTTGTAACGTTGGCATTGTGCTTAATACAAGTTTCAAGTTTTGGACTTTGTGTTTTCACTGCCCCCACCACACTGTACCTCCCCAAAGGTATGGTTGTAAAATGCAGTCATTCCAACTTAAACTCAACTGCAAGCTTTCTAATGGAAATGCCGTGTTTGACAAGAGAAGGTTGAAAAGGTGACATTCAGCATCCAAACAAAGGCAGTCAACGCAAAGCAGGTCAAATGCAGCCTCTAAACTGTCATGTGCACTGCACTATTAAAGTCAATAGCAATTTCCTGACCTGCTGCTGATGTGCATTTCAAACCGACTTCAAATGCCAGCAAAACCACACCATTGTAAATGAGCCCTAAGCATCAATAAACATTACCAAAAAACTAATCACCTTATAGCAACCATATACTACAGTAGTGGAGTTAACTGGCAAGATCATATGCAATCCCTCTAATGTGATCTTCTCTTTTAAGTATATTAGCAACTGTATGCCCACTCTGGAATAGGCAAGTTTGGGGATGTGGGGGTTGAAATGGCAAACGACAAGTGTGGTGGTCAAAGCAAATGGGTTTTAGTGGTGTGGCAAGCGTCAGTGGTGAAAGTGAGGGGCGATGGAGGTCAGGCATGGTAGTGATGGGGGGGTTGGTATGTAGGCATGGTTGTGGGAGATCCAGAGTAAGCAAAGGATGAGGGTCAACAGTGTAAACACAGGGGAGAGCTCAAGCATAATGATGGTTGCTGGAAGAGGGGAGAAAACTAGGGTAGGGTAGGCATGGTGGTAAGGGGTTGTCTAAGTATCCCATGAGAATATGATTGAAAGCACAAAAGGACCAGCACTGGAGCCAACATTTTTGTGAGTAACCGAGGAGGAGAAGAGAGGCTGAATGGAAGGGCCACAAACTGATACAGTGGCCCTACATCAAAACACAGAATACGTTGGTGACTGGATAATTGGGCACATGTAAGTAGGCATCTTTTATGTTCACCAAAGCCAGAAACTACCCCAGGTGAAGGGAGACAATGGCACATCTGGTTAACTCCATCCATACATTTTTGGGGCTGATTATTCAGGTTTGGGTGAACAGCCACAAATGCAGATTGTCAAACTGGGATGAGTGTCTATGTCTGTGCATCTGCTGCATCCTGATAGACAGCACCTGGCTGAAGCCAAGGAGTGAGCTTTTCTCTGGTTCAAACCCCCTCATATGCTTTTTCTCTCCCCTTATGCAGTAGCTCTGAGCTCAGTATTTGAGAGCTCAGTCCTGTGATGGTGAAGGTAAACAGTAAGGATTAGGCTTCTCTTAGCAATGTTCTAGCAATGTCCTAGGGGTTTTCCAGTCAGGTTTCAGGAGGTATATAAATGGTCTACACCAGTGGTCTCAAAACTGTGGCCCGAGGGCTGGATGCGGCCCTTTGCTAGCCTTTATTCAGCCCTTGGGGCACTATTCCTAACACTGCCACCAAAAGTGGGGCAAAATTCCCTCAGCTGGCACCAGCAATGGTACACTATTCTTCCCACTAATATCAATGATGGGGCCCTATTCCATCCACTAACATCAATGATGGGTCAATATTCCTTCCAGTGATAGCAATGATGGGGCACTACTTCTCCTCCTACTGACCACAAGCACTATGCAACTGAACACCACACCTGAAACCTTGTTTACTTTCACCAATGTTGGGCCTGAGACTTTTTCTACCCCCCCGCTGACCACAATCCAGTCCCCCTAAAGTCTAAAGGACAGTAAACTGGCCCTTTGTTTGGAAAGTTTGGAGACCCCTGGTCTACACCAATAGCACAGGAATAAATCAAGTCAAAGCTACACAGTTTGTTTTTATCTACAGACCCCCTTACATGCATAAACATTTTTTTGGTAAAGGTGAACTATGCCTTCAAGTAAGAAAGCCCTGCGGTGCCATGGTGCAAACATCGTGGTGCAGTGGAAAAGGATCAAACACAAGATATCAAATTTGTAACTATTGTTAGGAGGCTCACACGACAGACAATCCAGGTATGTGTGTAGCAAGGGATAGGGTGGTGATTGTTTGTCACGTCCTCCTTGTTTTCCAATTAACTTGTTGGGCGCCAAGTCTGGGAAACACAAGAGGTCTACCCCTGGTTTCTTCTGGGCTATGCTAGGCACCTTGTACAGGGTCTCTCTCTCTCTCTCTCTCTACTGTACACACATGGGGTACATTTGCTTTAGTTCTGTTTTCAAGAAAAAGCACAAGAGGGCGCCTCTAAGTGCTGTATAAAAACACTTTTTTAAAACCAACCTTGTTGCAATCACATGGGTAGACAACTAGAGCACTTGTAGTCATACACAGGCCTCAGCATACAGATCCGGAAATCCATCAGTATTGGTGTGAAGGATGGAAACCAACAAGGGGTGAGCGAAGGACCACTGAATACCACCACTGCGGAGGATCGTTACAGACGTGGAGCCGGAAGTGGAACGGAAGCCAGAATGGAACCACCGTGGAACACACGACCGGACGTGACATCAGGAGGAGAATCCCAGGCCTGGGTAACCTAGGTGATGCGTTTTGGAGCACCAATCAGCTCCTTTCTCAAACCTAATGTCAGGGCAGGAGCCGAGGAACGGACAGGCAGGCCTAACAATGTAACGCACTGGCTGACGACAACCACCACCCACAGACCGAAGTCCCTCAGGGCGCGGAGTCTAAGTCCCAGGCTGCCCTTCACCAGGGCCCCTGATGGTGGGGATGGACTTGACGCAGCCAGGAACCAGGTCGCGGCCCCCCGAGACACCTCAGCTGCGGTAATGGCCGCCGCCAATGGCGTGTAGCTGGTGGAAGAAACAAAAGAGTAGTCAGACAAGCCCGGGTCAACAACAACAGGACAAAACAGTACAGGACAGCAGACGAGAATCACAGGTCACAAGCCGGGTTCAGCAACAGAGGGTCAGATCAAAGGAGAATACAAAGAATAGTCAAGTCACAAGCCGAATCAGAATACCAGGAGAGTCAAAAGAGTCAGAACAGAGTAATAGTAACACAAAGACACAAGACACAAGTGCAAAGAGCATGTGCGGGCCACAGGCTTATATGTCATCAGCCACGCCCCTCTGGGGGGTGGACCTCAGAGACCTGAAGGCATAAAAAGGATTCCCATCATGCACAGCAGAATCCAAGATGGACGCCAGCACATGGAGTAACATAACCTCATGGAAAAGGTAGGACCTTGACACCTAATTGGTTGTAGGAGCAGTGTTCCAATTTATTGGTAGTGGGTTATTATAGCTTGGTTTAGTGATACTACCATGTATAAGCCGGTCTGTAGGTGGGGACTGTTCTGATTTTTTGACAACTGGGACCTCCCCCGTTTATGCATATCGCTTACGTATGGCCTCGGTTTGGAGGTGGTAGTTATTCCGATCATTTTTGGTGATTGGGCCTGCCACCAACCACGCCCATACCGTCCTACTACCAATAAATTGGAACACTGCTCCTACAATCAATTAGGTTTGAAAAAGGAGCTGATTGGTGCTCCGAAAACGCATCACCTGGGTTACCTAGGCCCGGGATCCTCCTTCTCCTGACGTCATGTCCGGCCGTGCGTTCCATGGTGGTTCTGTTCTGGCTTCCGTTCCACTTCTGACTCCACGTCTGTTACGATCCTCTGCATCGGTGATTTTCAGCTGTCCTTTGGTTTCCATCCTTCACACCGCTACTGATGGATTTCCGGATCCGTATGCTGAGGCCTGTTTATGACTACAAGCTCTCTACCTGTCTACCCAAGTGAGTGCAACAATGTTGGTTTTAATGAAGTGATTTTATACTGCACTTAGAGGCGGCCCCCTGTGCTTTTTCTTGTCATGACAGAAGAGAATTATTCCAGTCTCTGGTGGAGCTGCCAGCTCAGTGCATAGTCCTATATGGACTAAGTTTATGATTGTGGACTCTTAAATATTTATCCAATTGTCCTTAATTGTTTGATGTGGACCAGGGTTTGCGCCATAGATTTTAACAATTTAGTTCCGTTTTCACAAATGCCCTGGGACAAGGCTGAGGTTGCCATCAGGGAATACTCAACCGTAGGGAGGGCCTTTTCTCTCAGGTCCCCATGTAAATGTATACTTTCTGACTACAGCTTGCAATTAGGTGGGCCCTGCCAAACACTTACCACAGCCATGTGTCCAGTGTTTCCCACTACTGGTCAGCAGCATGGACCTCTACCGTGCACATAGCGTGGGCTCCAACGTGCACTTGACTTTAACTCTTGAGTTTCTATGCCTTTGTACAGGATAGAGACCTCTGCAGTGCAGTCCCCTTCTGATTGCTAAGGGAGACATAATGGGGCATAGGGAGTGCTGACAACGTGGCTAGAGGAAATTCCACCTATAACAGGTACACTCTACGGACAGGCTGCTCGCTGACTGTTCCTTCATTGCTCATGGCAATCACTTTTGTAACTTGCATTAAGGAGATTCTTAGCATGTTAATTCTTCATACCCTATGTGTTAGTGACCCAGGCTGTGGACTTAGTGCAAAGTTGAGTCAGTTACTTGCATAGCAGGGCCCTCTGAATCCTATTGTATTCATTTATATTGTAATTGTACTTTCTATCCTTTTGTTGTAAAGTGCTGTGTAAACTGTAGGAGCTATATAAATCCTGTATTATAATAATAATAATTACACCCCTTTTGAGTAACTTCAGACCAGGCAAAAAGTTTAAACGCTTCACTCACCAAAGTGCCACATTACAAAGCCAACACAACAGTCCATTTTCCTAAGTCCATAGTCCCTAATCATAACCAGGCTATGTGCTGTACCAGCATACCTGCAGAGGTGAGTCCATGTAGTTGTGACATCCAACAGAAGCAAATTCCAGAAGTTCGGGGTGAACCCCAAGTCGTTAAGGTGTACAAGATAGATGAGCCATTCTTACGCCTTTCCTGGGTGGCATTGTCTTTAGGGGTTCTGTGGAGGCGGCCAGGGCCAGGGAGGTGAAATGGCCTTCCCTCACAGTAGATTTTAGAGTACAGGCCACCGGCTATCTGTGCACTCTCGGACCCGGCCCACTGTCCCAATTTATACTCACACGTGCAGTGGGTCAGTCCCAAGAATCTTGGCAAAGGACCGTGAAATCACTAACCTCTACACTCCTAGCTGGTACAGCACCTACCTAGCTAATTCTAACCTGCTTACATGTGTAAAATAATATGATGGAAATGCAATTACAATTATCTGCATTGTATGGAAATAAAGCCATATGATCTGAATTGTCCAACAGGGAGGAAGGATAGGGGTCAACCTCCAAGTTGATCTCCATGTCCTGTATAATCACATTGCAAGACTGTTTCTTGTTGGTCTATGGAAATCTAGGAGATTCTGCACATTCTTCCTGTGACCTTCCCTCCCCTTTTTGCCTATACAGGGGGAAAAGACAAGAGCGTGGCTACTGACTGGACATAACATAGGTGAGCACTGAAGAAAAAAATCTTGCAGCTGCTGGTCATGTCAGGGAGCCAGATGCATCACACTGGTTGTAAGAAATGAAACGGTATACCAAGTAATGCACAGTAAGGACCCATGTCTAGAAAAAGCTTGATACAGTAACTGTTTCCCAGAATGCCCTGGTATAGAGCAGTACTCTGTCAAGTAAGTGGGTATGTGAGAAGAATACCAGCATTGGACTTGATTTGGTGGCCCACACAAAAGCCCTCGGTATTCCATGTCCACCACTCTCATCTGAGCAGGACTGATTTTAGCCCTGCATTGAATATTATTACAGGTATTTATATAGCACCGAAAATGTACGTAGCGTTGTACACAGATTTTATATTTACATCACTCCCAATCTTTTAGGAGCTTGCAATATTCCTACCTTAGATTCCTACCTTACATGAATACATACACATTTTACATCCAATTAAAAAAAAAAAAGCCAATTAACCTACAAATTGGTTTTTGGAGTGTGGGAGGAAACACACATGGCACAGGGAAAATATGCAAATTCCATGCAGGAAGTGTCCTGGTTGTATGCGACCCAAGGATCACCCAGCTCCTTACCAGGATTAAAACCGGAAGTTGGAAATGGCACACATGTTTGAGATTCATTTCCATTATGGTATGGACAGGGCTGCTGTTAGAAACCACAGGGTTCCATACAGCCAATCTGACACCCCCCCTCCAAAAAAAAAAACACAGTTTACTATGCTTCAGCCATGAACAAACACAGTTAGTGATCAGTAACGATCACTCATTGTGTTCATTCAAGAAAGGAGGTAGCTGGTAAATGTGACGTATTTACTGGACCCTTTCCCCACTCTCCATCCTGAAGGATTCTGTTGTGGAGAGGAGAGGTAAGGAGAGGATGGAAGCTGGCAGCACTGTGGGGTGTGGGCACATAGAGGGGCCTGGCCACAATGGGGAAACATATGGTGCACGCGGAGGGTGATGAGTGCGGTGGGGTGGGGGGGATAATTACTGGAACCAATCCCCTCTATGGCTCTCTCTGCAGCAGCTGAAAGCCAGCAGGAGGGATGGGCGAAGAAGCCAGCTTTCAGCTGCTGCAGAGAGAGCCATACAGGGGATCAGTTCCAGTAATATTTTATTTCTAAGCTTTCCTGTAGGTAGAAGTCACCAAGCAGTGTTTACACCACATTAATTGGAATGTAGTGCTCCAGGACGCATTACAAACAGAAATCTATTGATAACAGATTTAACATCATCTCACCAAAGTAAGTGTCAAATCCTCTTCGGGTTGGCAGACAGTCTTTCTTATACATGCCGAGGTGCCATTTTCCCACCATATGTGTGACATAGCCAGCGTCTTTCAGCAACTCGGGTAGAAGCTTCTCATCTAGAGGATAGCAATGGGGCTGACAGGGCCATATGATCTCATGCTGCAATCCTGTATGAATCTATGCATCAGAAAAACAGCAAATAAGAACAAGATCAATGTATAATGATTTAGTGATTAGCTTAAAGGAGAACTCTTAATACATTTTTTTTCAGTGCCCAATGTTCCTATGTCCTTTCTGAACATAACTACGAGGGTGCCCTTCCTCTCTGGCTGCAGCCGTTCAACAATGTAATTAGCAAAGAGAGGGCTGCTTGGTAACCGGTGCCTGTTTTGGCTCCAAGCACTTGCCCTAGACAAGCAGCAGTAATAGGAATAGGAGGCTAACACATCCCTTCTACCTCTGCATTCCTCTTGCTCCTCTTGGGCAAGTGCTTGGAGCCAAGACAAGGAGCATTGTTGGACAACGGCGTTGTCTGACCGTGTAGCTAGGCTTACAAAGCATGAAGAAACATGGGACAAATTGCATGTACTTTGTCCCCTTTGGGACAGAACACTAAAAAAAATATTGTTAGAGTTCTTCTTTAACATTATTACTTATTAAAAACAAAATAACATACTAAATGTCAAATTAATTTGGAGTTTACTGTAAATACCTAATCCTGTACCTTCTTCCAGGACTCTGCATATAACCTGGAGATAGAGAAGTATGGAAAACCGGGTCTGTTAGTACAATCCGTATCTTCAAGTAATTCTGCGACATTGGCCAGCACATCTCTTAAAATTAACCTCTACAACATTTTAATATTTTAAAAGTAATAGCACTGCCTAAGGATGCATTCACACTTGAAGCTCCGAAAAAGCTCAAACTTAAAAAAAAAATCAATTATTCCCTATGGTGCCTGTTCACACCTGATCACGTGGACAGGTACCATAGAGAACAATTGATTTTTTACGTTTTAGAGTTTTTGGAGGTTCGAGCTTCGAGCCTCAAGCTACAAAACTCTCAAGTGTGAATGCAGCCTTAGAGTAGACACCTCAAGATGTCCACCATCACCCTAAAGTGGACCTTCAACCTCAAATTTCCTAATATTATTTCTCATACTCTCCTTTGTCAGAATATACTGTATATTGATATTTTTTCTTCTTTTTGATAAGTATCTTTTTTGATCCTCACTCTGTATTTCTAGCCTGGATGAGAATGACAACACTGGTAGTGCCCACTGCTCGCTGACTCTGTTTCTAGCCTAGGCGAGAATGACAATGTTGGTACTGCCCAAAGATTCCTGGGATATGAACATCATATATCTCAGGAGTCTTCAGTCAACTCCCAAAACGTGGCATGTGCAAGCTCCACCAGTGTTGTGCATGCACACTCAGCATTTCTGCCCAATTTCCTTTAGATTTACCTTCAACTATGTAATGCAAGGGCCTGCCTAACTGGATACAATTGAAAGTGTTGTTTAGGTTTGACCTCTTATTATATGGTTTTTGGTAAATCTAAAGCAAAACTCTCAAGAAAAATTGTATAATGTTTGGCCAGCCTAAGGCCATACACTATACAATTTTCTTGAGATTTTGCTTTAGATTTATCAAACCTAAAAGACCCTTGCATTACATAGTTGAAGGTAAATCTAAAAGAAATTGGAAAAGAAATTGGACAGAAAATTGTAAGAAAATTGTAAAAATAGTGTATGGCCAGCCTTATGCAGGCCATAGACGGGTCGAAAAAAACGGCCATTTTTAAAAAAAAAAAAAAAAAGGAAAATCGGTCGTTCAATAGGCCGACGTTACCACCAATGGTAAAAAAAAAAGATCGTCCGATTTTCATCCCGTCTACGGCCGGCATTTAATTACTTCTGTCCCTTGCAAAGAGCTCCGCTATTATATTTGACAAGAAAAAGTATTGCGGTTGCAACATTGTATCTATTTGTATCCATTTCTAATACAGATGTTTTTATTCGGATATAAATAGATACATTGTTGCAACTGCAGTACTTTTTCATGTCAAATATAATAGCAGACTGGAATTCTTATTATTTTCTTCTTTTTCTTCTTGCAGGTCATGGCTCATGCGCAGATTTTTTTATCGGTAAAACGATCGGCCAATTTGCCCATCATTGCTGGGAAAATCGGCCGATCGGCAAAATTGGCCAATTTTTTTCCAACTTTACCGATAAAAAAAATGTGCCAAAACCCCGAAAAACGGCCGACTAATTAACCCATTTTTTGGCCGAAAAACAAATCAGCCAATTTTCGCACTTTTAGTGGGTTAATTTTTGACCCATCTATGGCCTGCATTACTTATGAGAGAATGTTCATAACAGATGACTGAACAGTGTCATTGACAACCTCTAAAGTAGGCAAATATGCAGCCTCATAGCATGTCAATATACAGTAATAGACCATGGCTTAAATCAACCCATTTAACCACTTGCCCTCCAGAGGATTTACCCTCCCCCCTTCCTGACCAGGCCATTTTTTGCAATACAGCGCTGCATTACTTTAACTGACAACTGCGCGGTCATGCAATGCTGTACCCAAATGAAATTTACATCCTTTTTTCCCACAAATAGAGCTTCCTTTTGGTGGTATTTGATCGCCTGTGCATTATTTTTTTTTTGCGCTACAAACAAAAACAGACCAACAATTTAAAAAAAAAAAACTATATTTTTTACTTTTTGCTATTAAACATGTCCAGTAAAAAAAATTTTTAAAATCTAATTTTTGTCATAAATTTAGGCCAAAATGTATTCTGATACATGTCTTTGCTAAAAAATTACCAATACATGTAAATTAATTGGTTTACATGAAAGTTACAGCGTTTACAAATGGCGGTATAGATACTGGAATTTTTTTTTTCACTAGTAACGGCGGTGATCAGCAACTTATAGCTGGACTGCGGCGGGCATTCTGACAGGGGGGGGGGGGGGGAACTGACTTGGTGTAACTGACATCCCCAGTGACACCAATACAGTGATAAGTGCTAATAAACTGTATCTACTAATGGCACTGGGCAGGGATGGGTTAACATCTGGGGCGATCAAAGGGTTAACTGTGTGCTGTTTTACTATGTGGGCTATGCTTTACACTGTAAACACACTGCTTTGTATGGCAAAGTAATGCGCAGGAGCGACAGGAGAGATCTGTATTGTTTACATACAGGTCTCTCCCCCCGTTGGTAATACCCGGAGATCGCAGGGTGCTGGCGGGGAATCACCCGAATGGCGGCACAGGTAGAGTGCCCCCTACCTGGAACCCAGTATATATATATGAGATTTTGCGCACCCGTGCCGCCATGTAGTAGTGTTTCTGCTGTAGGGTGGCACGGAAGCGGTTAACATGACTACTGATTGCAGATGCAGGTCTAAGCTTTGTGATATAACACAATGCTGCAGTGAAGTAAGCATTAAGCCGGCCATACGTGGGTCAAATTCAGAAAGAATTTTCTTTCGAAAATCTTTTCTAAGAATTTTCGTTTGAATTTCGCACTGTGAGTGGGTCACAGAAACAGTCGATTTTTGTGTGACCATCAAAATTGAGTGATCAGGCATGTTGGAAATGTTTTGAAAAACAAACGAATTTCGAATAATGGGAGAATCATGCAAGAAATATAAAGCAGTGACCTGGAAAGAAAAGAAAATTCTTGGCCATGAAAATTCTTTTCTGTAGCAACATGAGAAAAAAGGCTTGGTTGGTTGAATTTCGAAATCAATGGTGGCACTATCGCATTACAAAACACACATAATTTCCAATTTCCGAAAGAAAATTAGTTCGGAATTCGACCCATGTATGGCATACATTATGCCGGCCATAGACGGGTTAAAAATCTTCCAATTTTTCGGGCGAAAAAAAAAAAATCGGCCCATTTTCGCACTGTCAGTGGGTTAATTGGTCAGCAGTTTTTCGGGTTTTTTACCCAGTTTTTCTATCGATCATGTTGGAAAATTCACGGCCCGATTTTGACGGTTGCCCGATTTTCCCGACAGCGATGGGCAAATCGGCTGACCGTTTTACCGATAAAAAAATCCGCGCATGAGCCGTGACCTGCAAGGGACAGAAATTATGGGGGTGAACTTGATGATTTTGTCGGCTGATTGTTTTTACTGTTGGTGGTAACGTCCACCGACCGATTTTTCAGGTTTTTTTTTTTAAATCGGTCGATTTTTGACCTGTCTATGGCATGCATTAGTCTTGATATCAGATGTCTTAAGCAAGGCAGATTTAGCTGGTGCCTCTATTTGTTACAACAGTCGGTTATACACTCACCAGCCACTTAGGTACACCTGTTTAATTGCTTGGTAACACAAATTGCCAATCACATGGCAGCAACTCAATGCATTTAGGCATCTAGATGTGGTGAAGATGACTTGCTGAAGTTCAAACCGAGCATCAGATAGGGGAAGAAAGGGGATGTAAGTGACTTTAAACGTGGCATAGTTGGTGTCAGACTGGCTGGTCTGAGTATTTAAAAAAACTGCTGATCTATTGGGATTTTCACTCACAACCCATCTCTAGGGTTTACAGAGAATGGTCCATAAAAGATAAAATATCCAGTGAGCGGCAGTTGTGGACATGAAAATGCCTTGTTGATGTCAGAGGAGAATGTGCAGACTGGTTCGAGATGATAGAAAGGCAACAGTAACTCAAATAGCCACTCGTTACAACCAAGGTATGCAGAATACCATCTCTGAATGCACAAGACGTCGAACCTTGAAGCAGATGGGCTACAGCAGCAGAAGACCACACCAGGTGCCACTCCTGTCAGCTAAGAACAGGAAAGAGAGGCTACAAATCACACAGGTTCACCAAAATTGGACAATAGAAGATTGAAAAAATGTTACCTGGTCTGAGCGTCTCAATTTCAGCTGCGACATTCAGATGGTAGGGTCAGAAATTGGTGTAAACAACATGAAAGCATGGATCCATCCTGCCTTGTATCAACGGTTCAGGCTGGTGAGTATGGTGTGGGGGATATTTTCTTGGCACACTTTGGGCCCCTTAGTACCAATTGAGCATCGTTTAAAATGTCACGGCCTACCTGAGTATTGTTGCTGACCATGTCCTTCCCCTTATGACTACAGTGTACCCATCTTCTGATGGTTACTTCCAGCAGGATAATGCACCATGTCACAAAGCTCAAAGCATCTCAGGCTGGTTTCTTGAACATGACAAGGAGCTCACTGTACTCCAATGGCCTCCACAGTCACCAGATCTCAATCCAATAGGACACCTTTGAGATGTGATGGAACAGGAGATTCGCATCATGGATGTGCAGCAGACAAATCTGCATAAACTGCGTGATGCTTTCATGTCAATATGGACCCAAATCTCTGAGATATGTTCCCAACACCTTGTTGAATCTATGCCACAAAGAATTAAGGCAGTTCTGAAAGCAAAAGAGGGTCCAAACCGGAACTAGCAAGGTGTACCTAATAAAGTGGCCACTGAGTGTATACTCTGCCCGCAGACTAGTGAATGAAGCCAGCCTAAATATCAGTAACCCGGGTCAATTAAGCCATATGGATAGACAGTTTAGGCAGAGAAGTTATATGGCTTCCAGCGCTGATTGGATGCCAGTTGGATGCTGATTTTCCTGGCATGCCACAGAAGCCGCTCATAAGACGGACTTCTGTAGAGCAGACAGCTGAACACACGGGCTGACAGTCAGCCAGTTCCTGCTGAACCAACTGTTTATGGCTGATATTTGGCACGTGTGTTTCCCAGTTCAACACAGGAGGTGTGTTACTGGCCAGATCACCAGGTGAAAAAGAGGGGGAAAAGCCTAAAAAAGAAAACGAATGCAGCCACTACATTGAAGGATTGATAAGCTGCAATATATTACATTTTTGGTTTTGGGTTTATTACCACTTTAATTTGTTACTTGTCCCCAGGGGCAGAACTACACGACAACTGGGGTTCCCAGGCACCACAAATGCAAGTGTGTTTCATGCTGAACACCTATACATCTGCCTATATATGTCTATGTGTATGAACCCTCAAAGCAGAACTTCATTTAAAAGGGGACCATCTGCTTTATCCCCCCCCCTTCTATGCCATATTTTGCACATAATTTTTTTGGGGGGAACAGGTGCCTAATTTTGAAAGGTACCCGCTCCCACTTTCGCTCAGATTGCCTAGGAGATCTGAGCAGAGGTTGAGCCCCCCTCTCTTTGACCACAGCTTTCTGGGACATGACGCAGGTCCCAGAAGGCTGCAGGACCATTCACAATGCGCATCGCAGCTCACACATGTGCAGTGGGAAGCCATCTGTGAAGGAGTCACATCCTGCTTCCCACACGAAAGATGTGAGCGCTGGGGACCTGAAGACTGGTGAAGAACCATCTCAGGTGAGGATGACCCTGGATCCTTGAATGGGTGAGTGTCCTTTTACAAAATTCGTAGCTGCTGACTATTAATTTTTTTTTTCTAGGGTGAAGAACAGCTTTAACGTTGTACCTTGTATGTATTTTCTGTGTTGTATTGAATTGCACTTCTCTGTCTGCCAATCCAAAATGGACGTGTCTGGGTTTGGAGGTTGCCAGGAGAACGGTACTTGCCTGACTGCATTGTGCCAAGTGTAACGTTTGGTGGAGGGGGGATTATGGTGTGGGGTTGTTTTTCAGGGGTTGGGTTTGGCCCCTTAGTTCCAGTGAAGGGAACTCTTAAGGCGTCAGCATACCAAGACATTTTGGACAATTTCATGCTCCCAACTTTGTGGGAAGAGTTTGGGGATGGCCCCTTCCTGTTCCAACATGACTGCACACCAGTGCACAAAGGTAAAGCCATAAAAACATGGATGAGCGAGTTTGAGGTGGAGGCACTCGACTGGCCTGCACAGAGTCCTGACCTCAACCCGATAGAACACCTTTGGGATGAATTAGAGCAGAGACTGCAAGCCAGGCCTTCTCCTCCGACATCAGTGCCTGACCTCACAAATGCGCTTCTGGAAGAATGATCAAACATTCCCATAGACACACTCCTAAACCTTGTGTACAGCCTTCCCAGAAGAGTTGAAGCTGTTATAGCTGCAAAGGGTGGGCCAACCCAATATTAAACCCTACGGACTAAGACTAGGATGCCTTAAAAGTTCATGTGTGTGCAAAGGCAGGCGTCCAATACGTTTGGCAATATTGTGTGTGTGTATATATCTATATATATATAGATAGATACTGTATGTACAGTATATAAAACCATTTAAAGCGGAACAAATTTTCTTTTTCTATGCTAGGTAATGTGTAGGTGTGACCCTTCTAGGTAGTTATTACCTCTAGCAGAGATCACAGTACTTACTTCCCATCACACTGTCATCTCTTCTACAGGACGGAGCCATCTTTGCTCAGTTATCATTCATGGTCAGCATCTACTTCCTGGATTAAGTTCTTTGCTCAGATATACCATTATGTTACCTGGTACCTGTGCCTTTCTTGGTTGTGACCTATATCTGACAGAGATCATCCCCTGCTGTAGTCTTCCCTTGTGACCTGCTACAAAGTTCCAGTACTGCAGTCTTGACCACTAGTGGCGATGAGACAAAGAAAATGCTTCCTCCTACAATATAGTGTGTGTGTGTGTGTGTGTGTGTGTGTGTGTGTGTGTGTGTGTGTGTGTGTGTGTGTGTGTGTGTGTGTGTGTGTATATATATATTAATTTTTATTATTTTTTTTTTTTAAGCATGTTTTATTTTTATTTTACATAGTTAGTAGAACAGCAGTGCCATAGAACCTGGTGTCTAAAACAAGGCATAACAATTAGGCCAGGGAGAGTTCCAATAACAGAATAACATTGAAACAAACAACACTTGTACAACTGGACACACAACATTCATACTCCCTTCCTAATGGTAAAGCCCAGCTCCCAGGCATATTAGAAATTTTCCCTTGCAATGGGGCTGTAGTAATCATAGTCTGTAGCCATTTTACAGGCATGCACAATCTTAAGGACTTGACCTCCGAAAGGTTTTATACTGTTCATGACCAGGACATTTTTTTTTTGCTATTCAGCACTGCTCTACTTTAACTGGCAATTGCTTGGTCGTGCAACACTGTACCCAAATGAAATTTGCATCACATATTTTCACCAAATAGAGCTTTCTTTTGGTTGTATTTAATCACTGCTGGATTTTCAATTTTTGGCAAAATATACATAAAACTACCAAATATTTTGAAAAAAAAACAGTTTTTCTTGATTTGTGTTTTAAAATTTTGCAAACAATCTTTCTTCATACACTTAGGCCAAAATGTGTTGTGCTATATTTCTTTGGTAGTGCTTTACAGTGTCATCATATAACTGGTGTGGCAGTGATCAGGGATATTGACTAGTGACAGTATGTAAAAAAAAAAAAAAAAAATTGAAATCATTTTTTATTCAATTTTTTAAAACTTTTTATTGTAACATTATCTATCTATTTGAGGTACTTATACAGCACCGTCAATTTACGCAGCACTTTACATATATATTGTACATTCACATCAGTCCCTACATACTTTCATCAGAGTAGTTCAGTGTCACCATAAAGGGTAGAAGGGATTGTTTTGTATTTTCTTTTACACTGTTATTGCTTATAACAGTGATGATCACTGTTATAAGCAATAGTTTTTGGTGTCATGAATGACTTTCCATTCATGACAACTTGCTTACTGTTGGCATGTTGTGATTGGCTACAGCTAATCACATGGTACAGCCTTCATGACAGTTTGCTTACATAATATTATGTGATCACTACGATTGATCAGGTACCGAGCAGTGTGATCTGTTGTGTCCACTGGACACAGCAGTCACAGAATTGCACTGCTTCGTACCCCAGAGGGCACACTAGTGTGCATGCGCCAGGCAACATACCAGTAAGTCGCCTGTCTGTGCCGCCCGCCCGCCCACAGGAAATGCACATGTGTGGGCAGCAAGTGATTACATCTTGACATGTTTGGTTTTTTTATTAATTCAGTGCAACAGCTTTTTTTTATATTTTATTTTATTCAATGCCACATATCAGTACCTACCAGTGCACATCAATGCCACATATCAGTGCCCATCTGAGCTGCCTTTCAGTGTCACCTATCAGTGCCAGTCAGTGCCACCTATCAATGTCAGTCAGTGCCACCTATCAGTGCCAGTCAGTGCCGCCTATCAGTGCGCATCAGTGCTGCCTATCATTGCTGGCAGTGCTGCCTATCAGTGCCAGTCAGTGCTGCCTATCAGTGCCACCTATAAGTGCCATATATGAGTGCTGCCTTTCAGTGCCCATCAGTGCTAAATACCAGTGCCTCCTCATCAGTGCCGCCTATCAGTGCCCATCACTGCAGCCTCATTAGCGCACATCAGTGAAGGAGAAAAATCACTTATTTACAAAATTTTATAACAGAAACTAAGAAAAAACTTTTTTTTTTCAAAGTTTTCAGTTGTTTTTTGGTTTGTTCAACAAAAAAGCAAAAAAACCCTGAGGTGATTAAATACCACCAAAAGAAAGCTCTGTCTCAAAAAAGTGATAAAAATGTCATATGAGTACAGTGTTGCATGACCGCACAATTGTCATTCAAATTGCAACAGCACTGAAAGCTGAAAAATTGGCCTGGGCAGGAAGGGGGTAAAAGTGCCCAGTAGACAAGTGGTTAATTTAGCAGACAGGACAGCCCCCAATGCCATGTGACCAGCCTCAGTCATGTGATTGTGAACTGAAAGTACTGTGTACACAGAGACGGCACACTGAGCGAGCTGCAAGAATCAGACAGACATGCTGATGAATAGAGGCGGACGGATAAAAGTTTGCTATTAGCAGGTAAAGGACGGGAGAAGGAGAGATTACAAGGGAACTTTACGAAGAATGGAGTAACTGTGCATGGCAACCAATCAGCTTCTAGCTTTCATTTTCAAAGTTTAACAACAATCTAAAGGAACTAGGTTAACAAGATGAAGACAGAAACACCAACTATGCACGGCTGCTCCAGAGTCTGTCTGTGAACCCCCTCGCTCCCTATAATAGGGTCACTGACCTGGTATCTGCCGCTCATCAGCTGGCTCCGGGATGGGGTGCACAGAGGCTGCACATAGTACCCCCCCAGCCTCACCCCTGCTCAGACAGCCGGTCCAAATGGGGGGTTCTGATTTCCGATCCATGGAAGCCGACATCGTTCCAGCCCAGATCATCAGCCAGTATGAATAGGATGTGTGGGGGGGAGCCGAGCACAGCCCGGCACAGCATCAGCCCCATCCATCCGCACAGCAGAGCCTGGAGACCCAGCATGGTTCTGCCACCGACTACGGACAGCTCTTCTATTTCATTCAGGAACTGGTTGCTGAGCCCAGGGACCGCCCTGCACCCTCCTCCCTTCTGAGATGTCACACATGGTCGGAGGAAGCTGGGTTGTCACGCTGTGATCCTGCTCGAGGGAGCCTTTCTCAACCTCTGTACCGCGGAGGAACACTTGAAATAATTTTCTGATCTGATTAATGCTTTTTTAGTTAATTTAAAATGGTTTTCTAAGGGACACGTTCACATCTATGCTTTTTTTGAGTTGCTGCATTTTTAAAAAGGGTCAGGGACTTTTTAAAATGCAAAATGCAGTGTTTTTGCTACAATAGAGTTCAATGGAGAAGCAGCTGAGACACATGTAGTGCATTTGTGCTGCGTTTTTTTGTTTTTTTCTGCCCACTAACAAAAAAATTTCCACTTTAACAAAAAAAAGCTGAAAAAATACAAAACGCAGCAAAAACGCGCGTGTAAAGCACAATGCAAAAAGCATTATAAAACAGATCAAAAGCAAAAAGCACAGCTGTGAACCAAGCCTCATTAAATCCCCCTGGTATGTCAACGTATCAGGATGTCGTACTAGAGAACAGAATAAAGGCTAACATGCAGCCACGGCACCTCCTGCCTGGAGTTTGCATGTTCTCCCTGTGCCTGCGTGGGTTTCCTCCGGGTACTCCAGTTTCCTCCCACACTCCAAAGACATGCTGGTAGGTTAATTGGTTCCTATCTAAATTGGCCCTAGTATGTGTATGTGTGAATGTGAGTTAGGGACCTTAGATTGTACACCCCTTGAGGGTTAGGGACTGATGTGAATGTACAATATATAAGTAAAGCGCTGCGTAAATTGACACACTATATAATTACCTGAAATAAATAAATAAATGCACTTGTTAAACAAGAATTTCCAGATGTTTTTTGTTGCAAAAATATTTAATTCAGTGTTAAGAACACATCTGCATATGGGTTTAGTGGCAAAATATAATATACATTCACATGAGTGTTCAGTATACTCTGTACTGCCCTAAGGAATATGTCAGCACTATAGAAAAACAGGAGTTAGGGCCGGTTCACACAACAAAAATGCACTTCAGATTCGTTCTGAATGAGTTTCTGCATGCACGTTTTTTCAGGATGCATTCCAGATGCTTTTTTTCTTCTTTCCTGTTTTTTTTTTTTCCCACTGTACTAGTGTCCAGTGCGTATTTGATGCGTCCCAGTGCATTCTGGTGCTTTTATGATGTATTTTACCACTTTCCAGTGCAGAAAAAATGCAGCATGTTCTACTTTTTTTTTCTGGATCTGAAACTCCCTGGAAATGACCGCAGTGGTGTGAACTATGCCATTGGAAACCATATAACTTACTTTCCATTTGAAAAAAGCACACTGGACTGCATATGGTGTGAACTGGGTGTTAGGGTTACTTTCACACTAATCTGTTGCAAAAACACATGCATTTTTGCCATGTTTTTACTGCATTTGCGGTGCGTTTTTAACATGACATGACTAGAAAATTGCACCAAAAACACACTGCTGGTGTGGTTTTTTTTTTTAAACATTTTTTATTTATATCAAGGTTTTGGTTAAGTACAGAAGCAGAGGAATGCCACCTCAACAGCAGTCAACTCAAATACAGACAAAAAACATAATAAAGCAACCGTACAGACTAAACCTTATTGTATCACATGTTTAGTCGAGAACCGTGTTAAATGAAAAATCTCCATAACAATACAGAGGAGGTCCGCATCCCATCTGCCAGCACAGAAAAAGAAAAACAGATAGAAAAAGACAAAGAAAAAGAGAATCAAGGACAGAGAAGAGAATCAAGGGTAGAGATTGGGACTTCAATCCACTAAGTGTCGCAGGGACTCATGATCACTAGAAGAGGGACCAGTGGACCCATTTATGCCAGAACTTGTCTTCCTTGCCACGAACTGCAGCCATCATACTTTCTATTGAGTGGATTTCGTCAATCCTATTCAACCACATAGAGAGAGATGGGGGAGCCTCCTGTTTCCAGAGAGAAGGTATGCATGCCCGAGCAGCATTATTCAGGTGTACTAGAAGAGAGTTCTTGTATCATTTCCTCAAGAGGTCCGAGTGGAGCAGTAGATACCTGGCCAGGTCATCATCTAGGTCAAAATCAGTCAAGCATTTAATAATCTCTCTAACTTCTGACTAAAAATGGGCTAGTTTCCTACAGGACCAAAAAATATGAAGGAACGAACAGTCCCCTTCCTTACAACGCCAGCAGACCTTCGCCGCCTCTGGATAAATCTGGTGTAAAGTGACTGGAACCCGATACCATCGGGTGAGCAGCTTGTATCCCAATTCCTGATATCTGTTCGACAGTGAAGAGCGGTAGGCAAAATATAAAATATGGTCTCTCTGTTCAGTTGAGAATTCCCTGCCCAGCTCTTCTTCCCACTTAAGTAGATACAGGTGGTACAAAAGAGTCAGCAGGTTGACTGAGCAGTTTGTAGGCCAACAAGATTGCATGAGAAGTGGGATCGGGGTTGACACAAATATCCTCAAAGGGTGTATTGGGTCCCAGGCCTACCCCCCCTGTGGATCAAAGAGGCCAAAAAATGAATGAGTTGCTGTAGCCTCCAATCATCTAAGGGTGGCGAGAACATCCTCTGTATTTTCACCAATGACCTCAACTGCTGGCCAGCTATGAAATCCCTGAGACGGAAACGTTCTCGAGAAAAAAAAAAAGAGACAGAAATTTACCATCTGAGATCCCCAGCCAGGATTGCCTAATACTGGATATAAGCACAAAATCGTAAAATGCACAAGTCGACCACCTTTGCGGCTTTTCAAGACCCCAATAGTAGCTCCTATCAGAGGGTGAGTTCTGACTGCTGGAATTCTGCTGAGATCCAGCCATGGTAGGCAGTGAAGAGGAACATCCATCGAACACTGCTCCATCTCCACCCACTGTTTATGACCTCTGTCCCTACACCAAGTGAGGATTCTGGCCAAATGTACCGCAGAAAAATATCAAACAGGGTCCAGAAAGGCCATCCCCCCCTTTTTTTTTTTACAAGTAGGTATGAGAGATACATAGATGAGATTTCGCCCAAATGAACCGTTGAAAAACACCACTCACCTGCTTCAAAAACGTCAAAGGGATTGCTTTTGGGAATGTCTGGAAGAGATATAGAAGCCGGGGCATGATGTTCATTTTAAGTATGGTGCTTTTACCTGTCCACGAGTGAGCAAAGTCTGCCCACTTGTGCAGGTCCACTGTTATAGCACGTAGGGCAGGGGGAAAATTAGCCTTGAAGATCTGATCTAGGGTGTGACTAATTTTGACCCCTAGGTTGGATATAGAAGAGAAAGCCTCCTGTAAAGGAAATGAGGCGCAGAGAGTCCAAAACCTAGACCTGGGTGTGGAAATGTTCAGAAGCTCCGATTTATGGTTGTTAATTTTGAAATTCAAGAGGGATTCATAGCGGCTCAGCTCCTCCAGGAGATTTGGGATGGAGACATCTGGAGTTGCTACAAAAAACACAAGATCATCAGCGAAGGAGATTTGGGATGGAGACATCTGGAGTTGCTACAAAAAACATAAGATCATCGGCGAAGGCCGCCACCTTATGTTCTGTCTAGCCCATCCGTATCCCCATAACATTCAGTTAAATGTCTTAAAACAGGTTCTAAAGTCAAAATAAATAACAGGGGTGACAGAGGGCACCCCTGCCGAGTCCCATTCGACAAAGAGAAGTAAGAAGAGGTGGCCTCGTTGGTTCTAACTAGCGCTAGTGGGTGAGAGAATAGATGGCTTCGATCCAGGTAAGAAATCCCTGTCCCACTCCCACATGTCTAAGCATCTCCTTCAGGAAAAGCTTGTCCACCCTGTCATAGAGAGTTTATGGGAATGGGCCCAGTGAATGACGTTCAGGACCCTGGTGGTATTGTCTTTGACTTCCTTAGTGGGCATAAACCCCACCTGGTCAGGGTGGACTTTTTCCTGAAGGAGAGGCCATAGTCAAAGTGAAAGAATTTTTGTAAAGATTTTGAGGTTGTTCAAAAGTGAAATGGGCCTATCATTTTTACATTGGGGGATCCCTATCCTCCTTTGGGATGACAGTTATATAAGCTCGCAGAGAGTCCAATGGCAAGGGGTGGCCCTCAAGGATGGAATTGAAGGCAGCCAGAAATCTAGGCACCAAGGTAGGTGCAAATGCTTTATAGTATGCCCTCATGAGACCATCTGGCCCCGGTGCTTTCTGAGGCTTAAGGAACTTGGCTGCGCACAAAAATTCCTCTGTCGACACTGGCATCACTAAAACCTTCCGCCTCCTCTGAAGAGATCAAGGGTAATCCCGAATCCATCAAATATTCTCCAATACGTCGCTTTTTGGTAACAATTTGAGTGGGCATCAGGGGACCATTCAGATTATAGAGTGCCAAGTAAAAGGAGCGGAAGGCCTCTGCAATCTCCTGTGAAATATAACTCCGTTGACCCTGCCCTTGTCAAAAAAGTATATAATTTGTAAGGGAGAGTTCCTGAAGGGAACGTGCTAACAGTCTACCAGGCTTATTGCCATGTTCGTAGAACAACTGACGGACTCTCCGTAATTTGTTCTTAGTGTCGTGAAGAAGCATGTCCGCCAATTTACTCTGCTGACCACCTAGCTCAGCCACTACTGCCTGAGACAAGGGGGAGGGGAGAAGAGAGAAAAAAAAACGGGTAGGAGTGTCCTCCGGCAGGATGTGCCAGGCCCCTTCCTTATCTAGGAAAAAAATAAACAGTAATGGTTGCTGTAAAATTGTCCTCCAGCAAAACCCTTCAGGTGTCTAACTGTTTCAACCCTAAAGCAAGGATAAAGGGGGCATACAATCCAAACTGTACCACCAAGCGACCCTTCCAAACCCTTCCCTAGGAGATCACTCACGGAAATGTCAAGTCAGATCCCATCCAGACCGAACTCCAGACTCAGTATCCTAGAAATAATAGATCCAGACCAATTGCCCCAAACACATAAACA